CTGTAGCCACTTGGAGTCTCTTCTCTCTTACACTCCAGATCCTGGGGCCCTGAAATTTTCCCTCAAAAACCCCTACTTTGATGGCAGTGGCTTCATGGGCCTCTTCCTGAATGAATCCTTATAAGTTTGGTCACCCTAGTCTCAAGAGGTGATCAAAGCCAAATGGTATCTGTTGGGCAGAGTGGCCAGAACTTGGACAAGCAGGTTAGTATCCAGGTGTGTACACAGGTCCCTTTCAGTGTGTGACAGAGCTAGGGTGCATAGGACGCTTTAGTGATCTGGGAGAGACCTCCATTTTTCTCTTGCAAAAAGTTAGTGGTGCACTTGGCTTTAATTACTTGTGTTTTATATTGGGCTCCTCTTTAACTACTTTTAATTTTACATTTGTAAACTAAGTCTTGGTAGGACAGGGACTATTTCTATTAATGTCTGAATCCCTAGTACTTTGGACAATATCTGACATTATCCCATTAGTTGGAATTTATTAAAGAATAGTCAAATGAGTAAATGAAGACTTAAAAAATTATATTAAATTTCTAGTATGTTTGTTTTGGATATAATATTCCCATCCTCTAATTTTGCTGATTTTCATCACATTTTAAAGAATAAATTATTAGTGGTAGTTTGTTAATTTCATAAAGCGCTCTCTCTCTCTCTCTCTCTCTCTCTCTCTCTCTCTCTCACACACACACACACACACACACACACACACACACACACTCACAATTTCATCCTCACAATAACTCTATTAGATTAGGGTTATTCTTGTTCCATTTTAGGGATGACAAATCTCATGAACAGTGAATTTAAGTAACTTTCCAAATTTGCATGTCTAGTAAGGGGTAGGATTCAGATTCAAACCCAGAAACCCTGGCACCAGAGTTGTAAGACACTGAATTAATCGAGTTGTGATAAAACTGCAAAAATTGAAAGGCATATACCTATCCATTTTCCCCTATACTTTCTGGTTGATTTTTAGAGTACAAAGCTGGTCATTCTTATAGAAGTTGGGATTATAGGATAGAATCTTAAGAGGAAAATTTTGGTTTTCTAAAAAGGAGTAAACTGTAATTTAAGGAAAAATTAACTGTAGCTATATAGTATATAGACAAAAGAAAAATTACTTGAGAAAACATGAATTTTGTTGTTGCTGGTATTATTTTTTGTTTTGTTCCTCTACATTATACTTTATCTACGATATAGAAGATGTTTGGGAAAATCTAAATAGAATACTTGCCTTCAGGAGCAGGTGAAGCAGGAGTGGTTCTGGAAGCTTGTTCTGTTGGTAGCAGAGGTGGTATGGCTGGGCTTTGTCCTGTGCACACAATCAGAAGTGGGCATTGAAAAAAAGTATTAACAGATTTAATATCCACAACTAAAATAACCTGATCTTCCCCAAGCATGCATAATTCATAAGCTGAAATATAAATCCATATTATTATGCAATAGGCAAATTGTTATTAGCTGAGATCTTTAAGTAGATACAGACACAGATGCAGCTATCTTCAGAGCCATTTCTGAATATATTTCTTTTCATAAAAGTATACACAATGTTAAATATATTTACTGGACTTCATTAATGAAAACCCTACATGCAACCAAATAAGGTAATTTATTTTCAATATGCACTTAAATTATAAAACCTAAAATCACAGAAGCTTAGAGGAATCACCATTTTTTCATTTAAGTAAAATTTTTCAAATGATATAAAAGAAGCTTAAAATTCATAGGCCTTTTGATGTTGAACAGGTACATCTTCTCCTGCCAAAATAAATGATCTGCAATGAAGTAAGTAATGGGCCAAAGGAAAAATATATTCAGTTTTGTAGAGGCTTGTAATGCTCCCTCAAGTCTCTCGGCTTATTATGAACTGTATAAAAATCTACAATCATTTCTGAATGCTTCCTTATCCCAAGTGAGTTCTTTAATTAAGCAAAACCACCCGGCCCGTGAACTGTAAACATTAACTAACATACGATTCCATATGAAATGCTTGCAAAATGTTTTATCATTAATTTTCATTTTGTGAACTCCTGCTGTATGGTACATTTTCATCCGGGAATCGATGTGGGCATATGCACCTTCTAAAATCTCACTGACAACTAGATATTATCAAATGTCAGCAGACCTGCCTGCTTACTGGAAGTTTTCCTTTTTTAGAATTCATCAAAATGACTTCGCTCTGGTGAATTGCAGATGAGCAAGCGGAGCATCCGAGTGGCACACACCGCCCTCTGTTGTGATGAGAAGGGCAGAATTCCAGGCCGAGACCCCCAAGCCAAGGAGAGGTTACTCTCCTTTCACTACAGGGATAACTTCTAGTTTTTAGAGCGAATTGGTAGGTTCTTGAGCATGTTCAAGCAGGTATAAAATCAAAACACATTGTTTCATAGCATGCAGGCTGTATACCTAGAAAAATACGAATCCATATTATTATTAAATTTATTTCCTCACCAGCACAGATTTGATAGAGACATAATGCAACTAGAAAGTTCTTTTGTTAGCAAGCAAAGGGAAGGCAAGGCTGAGCACTCTAAAAACAGATTGCCCCACCTTTTCCTCCCCAGCTAACGTGTACAGTGCTTATTGTGTGCCTGGGACAGTCCCAAATAGTTGTGGCATGTCAATCTTCGCAAAATTCTTAGGGTATAATTTTCATTTTACAGTTTGAAAACAGAGGCAAACGGGGGTGTAGGACATTCAAATCCTAAGAAGTGGGGCTGGATTTCCATACGCTCTGGATCTGAGGTGTTTAAAGTTGATTTCTGACTAAGGCGAGCAAAGCATCATCCTGCGTTAGGGGGCCATGACTGCCCTGGGAAAGGACAGAGGAGTGAGGCTTCCCCTCTGTTCCTACCTGCTTTGTAAGTCACAGGGACATATACCTGGAAAGATTTGCTCACAAATCTTGCTTGACAGCTGTTTTTGAAAAAAATATTACCAAGACAGAATATCTTTTTGTAATTGTTAAAATCTAGGGGGAGTCTAGATTTGGGGAAGAGTCAATTAAATGACTAAAGCTTCAAATACAAGTGGCCATGAGTATAATTCCATTGTTTCTAAATACTGAAGCTTTCAAAAATACTTTCATAGAATAGTGTTTGTTCAACCTAAGCTGTTTTTACCTCTATCAGAAGCTTCCATAAATAGCAGTGAGTATATCACCATAATCTTTTATAGTCGATACGGTCATTAGGAATTACTTCAAAATATGTAAAATTCTTTCCCTGGAAAAGTATTTATAATATGTATTATAAAATATTATTAGATTTTCCTGGAGTAGATACATGTCATTATTTTTGCTTTTTAATTAGCACTTATTATGCATCAGCAATGAAGTACCATTAAACAGCAACCCTGGCTTAAAGAAATTCTCAATATACTGGCCAAAACAGACTCACAGGCACATCATTATAATCAGAGTGGTGATGGGAAATAATATATACAGAGAAGAGGTTGTAGACAGATTCCTGAGATTCATTGGAATGTGCATTTAACAGCCTAAATGGAGTTTATCAGGTAAAGAAGGTGGGGGGAGAGGGGGAAGAGGAATGGATTCCAGACAGTGAGAATCTGGTGTTAAAAAAAGCCAAAATATGTAGAATTATTAAGACACACAACCTGGTGATCTTTGGCATAAAGTACAATATCCAGTTTCTATCAGAAATTCTCTCCAACTGTAATGAACTATGTTACGCTCTCCAGTGTGGCTGACTGTATTATTGTGGGGCAGTGGATGTGGTGGGGAAGAGGAGTCACAACAAAAAGAGAAAGAAAAAGGCAGATGGCAGTAACAGGCAGCCCCTGTAGGGGAATGATTAGCTCTGGACAAGTTCTAGTTGTGCCTGGAGGCACCAAAACAAATCAGGCATGCCATGCTTGAGCAAGATGCATGACTTTAGTACAGACTTATAGTAAAGTATTTATTTACATTCAAATAATGTCAGAAAATGCTATTGAAATTAGGGATCATTTTGCTCTATTAATGAATACGTTACAGATAATATACAATAATATGTAATAAATTATATCAATAGAACATTATATTGATAGAATTTTATAATAAAAGCAATATTTAGTATAAAGTCTTTATGCTTGGAATCAAATGGCTATAAGTGAGAGTTTCAGCTCCATCACTTGTAATCTGTGTGAGCTTGAAAATCTCATGAAGATTACAAGCATCAATTTATGAAATGAGGATCTTTTAGGGCCATTACGAGGATTAAGTGATAAAACAGCCAACACATAGTACTCAAAATATTAATTCTTTTCCCAATGGTGTATTTACAGTGTATAGCCCATTTATTCTCACAAGAGGACTTGAAACAGACTTTTGAAGGAAACAAAGACAACAGATAAAATTTAAAATGACAAAATAGCACAACTCATTTACAGGAAAGATGATTATAATTTTATTAGGAGTTTATTCCTGAGGATTGTTACTCTCTGAAGGAACTATTTAGGTTGTTGAAATTTACATTGGGACTCTAAAGGTGTCCTTCATTTTACAAGCTATTACCTGGCAATCCCTCTGACATTCATGCATAGTGAATTGGCTTTATTTTTGTTCCTTGAGTGATTTTTGCTGAATTATTTCCATAAACTTGAATGACATGTTTATAAGTGGCCAATATTTTATTGTTCTGTATTCGTTCTGATAGACGTGAATTTGATTGCTTTAGGTTTAGTCAAATTTCACCGGGGATAGTTTACAGCGTGCGTTCCTACTAATGGTCTAAACTATTTGATATTTCTTTATTTTGCTAGAAATAATGAATGGGATTGCTCAGCATCTCAATTCATGTGGGCAGCTGTGAGCTGAATTCAGATTGCATGAGTTAAAAAGAAATGCTATACTAAAGTTTAATTTGTCTAGTTTCTTCAGTTAGAGGGGATTCCCAGGTTAAAAATCATTTCTAGATAACTGAATCAACCCTTTAAATCTTGAAACAAATGTTGAGGGTACTTTTTCCTCTAATGCTCGATATTTCATCCCTTAGGTCACCATTGCATTTTTAGAGGCACTGAGTACATCAGAAGACTCTAAACTCTTTGAAAGGCCTCCAAACTGCAAGCAATGAATGGTGGTGGATCCTGGGATGGACAAGGTGTCACTCTAGTAAGTGATCATAGAGTTAAAATCCATTTAAATTAAAAAATATATACAAAGTGTGAAATCACTACAAATTCTTGTCTCAATTTTTTCTTTCAGTTTCATAGAAGGCATTTGTAAATCTATGATGAAAGGTAAAATGGGAAGATAGGAATTTAGTAAGAAAATGATACTGCATTACTTTTATGCATCGGAACAAGATTCCCAGAATGACTATTTTTGTAACATATGGAATAATACTTTTAATATTTAAAATTTAATAAATACTAAAATTAAATAAAAATATGGCTTTATATATTAGGCTGAGACATGTGATTGTGTGACAATAAGGACACCTTGACGTTTACGTTTCCTTACCGAGAGTCTTTTTCTCTTGCTTTTGTATATTTGGACCAAGTACAGAATGGAGGGAGGGATTTGGGGTATCAACCACTCCTCCCTACTTATCCCATCTATCCCAGGTCGGCACATTTGCATATGAGAAGATAATCTTACCTATAAGGAAACATCTGAGGAAGTTCAGGCGTTTGTATTAGGTGGGTGTATCAAGGAGGTTTCCAATGTAATAATAAGCATCTTCATCTCTCCCCCTTGCGTGTTGCTAAATTCTACACATGCACTTTGCATTCCTTGCACTCAGTATAGTGGAGGGGACAGACAGCAAACAGGCAATTATTACTTAATTCTCAGTTGTTTCGAGGCAAACTAAGAACAGTGGTGTCTGATCCAGCCTAGTTATGGTAAGTGTTAATGGACATAACAGTACAAATAAAGCCACTGAAGGACCACAGTGAAGATGGAGAAATACCCTGTTGTTCCAGAGCTTACATTAGAGATGGAGGAGGCGGGTGATAAGCCAGACAGACCGTTTTAGACCTCGTACAGGTAGAACCATGAAAGCAGAGAGGAGGCAGAGGAGGCTGGGAGCAAGATGATGCTCTGGTGAAGGGCAGGGCTTCCACAAAGCAGGGTTGGACTAAATGTAGGGTGTCCCCACCCTGTATACACACACTTTGATAATTACAAAGACAGTATTTATTAAAACAGATTCATTTTCAAAATTGAGCTGTCAGCTGTTAAAGTGTGTATACATTTTTGGGGGGACGCCCTATATACGGAGCTTTGTGAGAATTAGGGAAACACGCCCTCTCTGGGCGTGTGCAGTTCACAGAGGCGATTTTCGCCAGAAGGACTTGCTTCCTGCAAAGCTAAGAGGCAACTCTTCGCCTGGGCAGCTGCCGCCCCAGTCCAAGGCAAGCTGTCTCCAGCCAGGAAAGGAACGGAGTGTGGGGCTTTTGTGTAAGCACACAAACTGCACAAGACTGCGTAATGTACGGAGTGCCCACTCTCACAGAGCGGTACACTTGAGCTCTGACTTGAATAAGAAAGAGCAAACCACAGGACGATCTCTAATAAAAGGGTTGCTGACAGGGAAAAGCAAGTCAAACAGCCTAAACCAGGAACCAGCCCAGCTTGCTGGAGGGTCAGAGGGGCTGGAGAGCAGAGACAGGGTCCTATCACAGCATTCTAGGCAGTTCCACTATGTTTGGAACAGCCTTTGGGACAGTGTTCTAAGGCCAATGGTAAACTTGTAAAGGATTTAGTATGATCTATTGGCTTTTGAAAAAGGTCACTGGCTATTGTGTGAACAAAAATAATGCTTGTGAAAAAAAAAGGGTATAAGAGACAGTAGGATATCAGTTGGAGATTATTGAAATAAACCAGATGAGAGATGATGTGGGCTTACACTGGGTGTGTTTCAGTGGAGATTTAGCCATTCATGCAATAAATATTTGTAGAGTGCCTGCTAGTACTGGGACATGGAGTTATAGTTGTGAACAGTACAGACAAAATCACCTTGCTCATGGAGCTGAGATTCTATTGAAAGGGACAAAACACATCAACTAAATAAGTAAAATGGAAATAAGTACCCTATTTTAAAATGTATCAAGAAAGAGTAATCAGAAATGCTATTCAGAATAATAGGTGGCAATCTATAATAATAAAAGGGTAATATGCTAATTAGACCAGATGTCCTTCCAGGATGAAGCCAGGGCTGCAGCTGCCACAGCTGTGAGGGAGGGATCCAGGCAGCCAAGGCTGCAAAGGCCTACTGTTACATGAATTTCGTGCATTGGGCCTCTAGTTTTAAATATATGGTCAATGAAAAACATAGAAATCTTAGGTAGGTGGATTAATTCAGAGGACATTTTGACTAAAACCCAGTAGGACTTTTAAATGAATTTGATGTGGGAAGAGAGAGAAAGAGATAAAGGATTCACAATTTAACGTGAACATCTGGAAGCAAATGAGAAGTCTATACCCAGATACGGGCAGCACATTTTTCATTTACCATCTAGATACTGTGTATGGACTAATGGCTTCATTGTTTTGTCACTTGAATTATGAGTTCTCAGTTTTGCCAGAAGACATATACAGAACACAATGAAGAAGAGGACACAATTATTTCATTGGGTTATTCTAATAATATATATTTTAATAGTAATTAATTCGCATATTTTTGATGATTTTGGAAAGTTTTAAGCAAATGGATTATTTAGTGTAAATTGGCTATGTGACCCTACTAAAACACCAAAACTTCAACTTCTTAGATCAAAGAGCATCCTCCAAGCCAAAATGTTTCTACTAGAAAGATTTCTTTGCTTCCTATAAAAAGCTTCCCTAATATTTCCATGTGTTATTATATATTTGCATATTCACTTTGATGGAAAGCAAGGACAAGTAGCCAAATACATATTTCATACATTCTTTTGATTAAAAATGATAAAGGTAACATTTCTGTTTTTTTCCCTTCATCTTCAATTTATGAACTAGAAAAAATTTCATGGAATAGTCAACTCAAAAAAGGAAATAAAACTCATTCAAGATCATATCATTGTTCCATTTATTCTTGTACCTCGATTATGACAGAATACCTGATGTTGGGAACTTAACAAAAGTAGATGCATCAAATCATAATTATAGAGTTTGGGGATGTAGAAGAAACTTTTGAAATCAGCTATTTCGAAGTCCTAATGTTTTAGATGAAAAGGAAAAAAAGGTCTCTAGAAAGATAAGTGGCTAAACCAATGTCCTGCATGGAGGGCAGAACGAATTTAAGATTAAGATTTTTGGACTTCATTTGGTTTTTCTATCTATTTAATACCTATTTAGAAAGTTAATATAAATGACAGTTATTTTACCTATTATGAAAAATGACTCATAGCCATTGGAAGACCTGTAAATATTCATTTCCTAATATACAAAGTTATATAGCTTTCTTCAGTAGTCATGTTTTGTTTAACATTAATTAGATGCTGAATTAACTTCAAGCAACCCATCAAAGAGGCTCAGTACATTAAGACAAATTTCCTTATTACCTGGCCTCATTGTCACAATTCTAAATACATTGTCAACTGGTGTGTTTTCAAAACTTTCAGAATTACTAATTCTTCTTTCCTCAAATATATTTTTTCTAGTTATCTGAACAATATCTCTTTCAACTCCACACCAAATCATATTTGTACATAGGGTGAGGCCTGGAGGAGAGAGTGAAGATGGAATATGCAGACAAATAGGTAATATTAATTCCATATTTTTCTTTTAGTATGAAGGCCAAAGTTGGTAGAAAAAAAGATTTATAAGACATATTAGCTGGGTTAAATTTTCCATTTAAAAAACATAAAAACTATCTCATGTACTTAAAATGCAGATGTCCTATTTGCCATGGAGTCATGCTGTGAAATGTTAAATATCTGCGAAATTTCAAATTCTCATCATTTGAAAAACAGTGTTGCTTCTCTTTTATACAGAAATCTCATTCATATAAAATAAAAAAATAAAATCAATTAGACACTTTTCAGCTGCCCATTTAGCCATTTCCTCACCACTCCAGACTGGGCAAAGGGAAGGGATTTTGCAACTGTCCTACTCTTTGTTTCCACCAGTGGGAAAATTTATTTCCTTTTTCTTTTTTGAAAAATTGTCTCTGACACATGAAAATATTCTGTGTTCATAAGCAATTCAAAGAGACACAGAAAGCCCAAGGAAGAAGCATAGAGCCAATTAATAGGGGACCTTCTGTTTTTTGAAATATACCTCAGGAAGAGAAAAATGACTTGATGTTTTGTTTTAGGGGGACTTTTTCTACTGGGTTCTTTAATAAAGATGACAAAACTCCACACCTTTTCAATTACAGGCATAGGACATAAATTTAATATTTCAATGCTTGCACTTAATAGATAAAGGATAAAATGGGAACATGATAATAATTACTATTTAATAGGCTTAAAGACACAATTAAATTTACAAATATATTCTCACTTGAATGACACATTTGAAAGTCATCCAACTTCTCTTCCTGTTTTAAATTGTATGTAATTAATATTAGTTTGGCATTTAAAACAATACACACTGCTTATCCAGTGTCTGCCAGGAGGCTATTTATAATTATACAAAAAATAATCCCCTGGGAGGAATCATTATTAATGTAATTATTGTCATGCATCACAGAAAATAGAAAAGGTTTACATCTTATGAAACAGCCATATGAGAGGAAATATTAAATCATCAGTTTGTTTTTCAGAGGGTGTTTCAATATGACAATTTTGTCCTTTTCCTATTTATTTCCCTCACTTTCTATACGAGATTATAATTGTTACAATGGCTCATGTCACTAAGCATGTGCATATTACCTAAACACTGTGGACAGTTTCAATAGAAAGTGGTTTGTAAGTGACAATTTTTCCTTCAGGAAAGCAGCATATCAATCAGAAATCATAAATATTGACTAAAATAGTATAGTGGGGATGTGAGAGAGATAGGGATAATTAAGAGTGAATGACAAAGGACAGACATGAAATATAATGAGGTCTAATTTGAAAGGACACACAGTGGGGTAGATGACATCTATGTTGTGAGATGTTACTCTGTTCAGTTTTTACTGTATATTGATTTCTAACTTGGTATTATTATTTTTTTAATATATTATTGATCTCAGAGAGGAAGGGAGAGGGAGCGAGAGATAGAAACATCAATGATGAGAGAGAATCATCGATTGGCTGCCTCCTGCACATCCCCCACTGGGGACTGAGCCCACAACCCAGGCATGTGCCTTGACCGGGAATCGAACCATGACCTCCTGATTCATAGGCTGCTGTTCAACTACTGAGCCACGCTAGCCGGGCTCACTTGGTATTATTAATTTTAAAACAGTGCATCAAATTAGATCACTGCATATTTTTCCCTGTTGGGGTGAAAAAATTGGCCACCTAAATAGGAAAAAATGCTGATCTCATTGTAAACAGTGAATAATAACAATCATAAGAAAGCTGAAAATAAGCACTGACAAAATACTAGCCCTACAGCTTTATGAAGCCCATCCTGACCTCTGTCCCCCCTCCTCTTTAGACATATATAATGAGTAAAATCTGCATCATATTATTTAGTACTTAATACCTCCCCATTTTCTCCCCTCATTTCTTTATAATGTTCATTGTTTTATTGTAATCATCTTTGCCTAGATTGTTACCTCCTTCTGCTTTGAAACTCATGTTATAACCACTAGCATTGAGTACCTACTAGGGATTCAGTGACTGCTGGAAATTAATCAAGTGACCTTGAGTTTATCAACCTGATGTTGATGAGGATATAAATAACCAAAATGTATTGTCTTCAAATGTGAGAGAATTATTATATTATTGCTGCAACATAGAATGTTTTAGAAAACCAAAATGTGACTATATTGGGCTAGAACAGCAGCCATAAAGCTGATCAAACTGTACTGAGCAACTTGTTGAACAGTTTACAGATGGTAACATTAGTGTTAATGCAAAATTCATTATTGTCATCGTACACAAATATCCTATACAGGAAAAAAGCTATGGATAAGAAATATTTGTTTATCAAAGAGGTCTCTTTAAAAGTAGTTATATCACACTACTTAGTTTACAATTGGTTATACAAAATGGGCATGGAGAGTACTAATTTCCATCTTTAAAATAAGGTATTTATTTGAATGGTTAGAAAGTCCTAGAAGCTCTGTCCTTTATCAACTAGGTTCACATAAATGAACCTTAGAATAGCACTAGGGGAATACATTCACATAATTACTAGAATGCTTTTTAAATCTGCACTCTTGCATATAAAGTGACAGATAAGATTATTATAAGACATGACACATTAATAAATAACATCTAATTAGTTTGATAATTCTTTGATTAAGACTTAATTTTCCTTGCTTTTCATGAAGTAATTCAAATTACTCTGTATTATTTGTTCCTTTTCAGACTGTTTTGGAATGTGCTTTGAATAGTCCCAGTAGGTTACCTGAGAAGAAATTTATTCTTGCCTGATAGCAGGCCCATGCCATTAATAGTGACAAGGTTAGACCAAAACAACACTTTAATGAAAACTCCCTCCCAGCAAAGATATCCCTCTAGAATCTGACACCTTTTGCAAAAGGGTAGGAGACAAAATCCTGAGAATGTGAGTAAACAAATGAAACCTTAGGCCTTCATTTTGTTCCCTTTAATGGGCACAGAGAAAGTAAAATCATATCAACATTCTATTGTGGGGAGAGAAGTCTTATTTACTAGCTCTCTCCCCAGGCCCAAAGCCCTTTATCACATGAAGCATACACAGAGTGGTAGCAACATGGGAGGAATCACTGCCACTCAGAAGTGTTTGGATCTATTTCTGTGTACATTCCAGCTATTTATAGAACTAGAATGTTTAATGGATTGATTGAGACAAATATGAAAATCAGCTACATTTATCTTGAGCAGCTCCCACAGAGTTCAAAAAATCAGAAGGCAACTTTCAGGGGGGCATGCCAAACCCAGGAACTAGGCACGCCTGTAGTTAAGTATAGGTTCTCTCTCCTTTTTCCTGTCACTCTGTCTAATTCTGTATGCTGCCTGCAGTGTGTGATGCACACAGCCACCCCTGCTCTGTTAATTCTGAGCCTCTGTCTCTAGAGATAGTGCCAATAACTCCTTTAAGAATCTTTATAAAGGGCCTATTTACAATGCTTAGAAACCTGTCAGCTTTTTAAATAACAAGATTATTTCTAGGAATGAATAAAGAGGGATGCTCTGGGATGATCATCAATAAATTGTTTTCTGTGAGATAAATACTATACATCATGAATTCAATTTAATAAACACATCATGTATCTGGCAAAGTATGAGGCAGTAGGGATTTAAAGGCAAGTGTTTCTGGAAGGTATCTATAAGGCAGAAAGGCAAAACTTGTTAGGGAGAGAATGATAATGATATACAGTAATTAAATCAGGAAGATATAGAATGGTGGGTAGAAAAATGACAATTTTGCTATATTTAGGCAGCCCACTACCCCACCACCACTATAAACTTAAATAGGACTTATTATGTTTGCCCTAGTCAGGTAGTGTTTTAAGTATATGTGAGGTGAGTGAGTGTGTGTGTGTGTGTGTGTGTGTGTGTGTGTGAATTAACCCATACATTAACCCTATAAAATAATGTCTATTATTCCATTTTAGAGAAGTCAGCATCATCCCTATTTGCTAATTGCTGTATCTATAGAATCTAGCATAGTTCTTAGAAGTCACCCAGAAGACACATAAACCAAAGTCATTGCATGTAGGTAATGCAGGGTGTTTTTATAAGCTCTTCAACATAACATGGTAAATTATTTAATTATTATCCACATCTAATAGATACTAGAACCAAGGCTAAAGGACATCAGGTGTCTAGAATGGGCAAAATTGGTCTGAGATATTATTTTTTTTGAGGTGGTTCTGAAAAAATGTTTTCCTCTCCCTAACAAAGTTCTACCTGCAGCAACTCTTAGGTGTTCAATTACTAAAGAAGAGTCAACACTCAGAGAGCTGTGGGTGCTCAAGAACACTTTGACCACCGGCTAATGGATGCTGCAACCCGATCACCCTCATTCCACAGAAGAGGACATGGAGGCCTACAGAGACTGATTCGCTTGACTAAGTCATATTCAGGCAAGGGGTGGAACCTCCATTCGAAGCCAGGCAGCCTGGATCTGAAGTCTGTGGGCTTAAGCACCTGCTCTCACTGCCTGAAATGTCCGTGCACTAGGTGACTGCCTCTGTAGAGTGAAAATAAAAACAATGCAAAACAACAGAAACCAGCCAGAGACGGAAAAGCAGCTCTTGCTCCATTTTAGGTTATAAACAGGTCCAATTCTAGCCCTTTCCATATTACACTGTGGTTTTAACAAACTGTCACACATATTTCACTGTTTTCATTTATGTCTAGACCTCATTTAAACTTCTATGTGTATGAATGTAAAGTGTCAAAACAATTTGTAGCATTTTGAGTTGCAAAATTAATTTCTTAAGTCATTATAGACTGGTCCCCCATTACCACTTATGTGAACAATGGCTTAGGAAGCGTGCCTTAGGCTCATGTGTTAGGCTCATCAGATTTAGTGATATTTCACAAGCTGTATCCCATTTCCAATCACTTAAGCAGAATGTTGCCTGATCACGCTCTCAAATGCTGGTGTCATGTCATTGTTCTATTTAAAATCCTTCAAAGACTCTCTTCCACGCCAAATACCGGCTTTGCCTGATTGAGCAAGTGTCTGTAATCTGTCACCACTAACTTATCATGTCTTATTTCCCAATGTTTTCTAATCTTAATGTATCCTCTTGCCAGTCTGACATCCTCGCTGTCATATAAATACATCAGTTTTATATGCACTGCTATGTCATGTCCCATTCATTTTCTCTTTCACTCATGTACAAAGCAAGCCCTATATATACTTTACTACGTAGGCAAATATTATCCATCTTTCAAGTTCTAGATGCATTTTACCTTCCCTAATGTCAGGAATCAAAGGTGTCTCTCCTCTGAAACTTGTAACAGTTAGTGTCTGTATTATACAATCTAACTCAGGTTTAAATTTTTTCTATTATTTATTAGTTTCTTTTTCCTTTCAAAGAATCATCCACTCAATTTGTTAAAGTTAAGCATCATCTTTCAGTATTCTTATTTCTTTAACTGTGCTGAGCTGAGCCTGTGGCCTATGGCAGCTGAACATGAAGATATTCAGTATTTGTACACTGACTTATTTCACTCACTCCTCTGGCCACCCCATCTCCACCACTGACCTCTCCCTGAAACTCCATACTTGATTGATTATCTAAAGGCCTACTTCAGAGAGTTTGCTGTGCGAATTAAATGAGTAATGTGCATGAAAATACCTGGTATTAACCTTGGTATTTAGTAGGTGCTTAAGAAATAATGTTTGGATGGGAATCTTCACATAGTCCCCTTTGCAACTGAATACCATCTGTGGCTTTAAGAATAGGTGATGAGTTCAAAGTCCCCTACTTCTTCAGTCCCACCTACTCCATTGAGCTTTGATCCACTCTTTTCTTCACTCCCTATTTAGGTCATCACTTTGATTTTTCAGGCCAACAATCTCTGAATAATCTTCTATATTCCTCACCTTTGGTATCTGTAATAATAAATTCCATGATTCTACATCTGGGACATCTTTGAACTCATCATAATCCTCTCCATCCCATCTCCCAAGGTCAAGCTTTACTTCCTCTCCTTGCACTTATCCTAACAGGTCATTCCAATTCCATTCTCTCCAAACCATCTTGCACAATGCTTCTAATTCTGATTCTCTTTCCACGTCCTTCAAATGCCAACCAAAGTGAACCACTTGTGGTTTCCCATCTATGGCTGGGAATCAGGGAGATTTGATCTTATTCCTGAAGACTCTAGAATTGGGCAGGCCTGGCTTTGAATCTCCTACAGGGCATGAGGAAACACTTAAACTCTCTATACCTCAATGACCTCTTCTATAAGACAGTCATGGCACCCCTCCCAATATTTTATAAGAATAAAGTAAGATTATTTAAGAACCTAGCAGAGTAAACACTCAACAACTGGTAGTCACAAAATAATACTTCATTAATATCTCTTCAACCTTATATGTTTCTATTCTTAATTTCACATAAGCATATCTTACCAATGTCTCAAGACTCACTTTTTATGTTTTCCATAAGATCTCCTCTGATATGTCACACTAGAAAACTATAGTTTTGATACCATTGTAATTAGCTGGTTATTAATAATAGAAAAGGAGCAAAGGGAAGGCCAGGCATTATAGGCATGTCATTTGGGCAACTTCATCAGGAAGCTACAACTTTACATTCCAGATGGGCCCAAGAAAGGGAAAATAGACACATAAAGTTAAGGGGGACTAGGAAAGTGCTTGCTGTCAATCACATCTGGGACAGAGACGGTTGCACAGAATGGGCATGGCCACTGCAAGGATGTGAAGATTTGGGAGGCATAACCCTGAACAAAAAAGTTCACTCTCTTGTGCTCTTGGCTCTCTTGGGACTTGTGTGACTCTGGGCTTGTGGGGCTTTTTTGCTCCTGCTTCCCTGCATTTGTCCACATGGTCCACAGCCATGTGGACCTCATATGCAATAGACAAATGGACTGCAACTAGCTTAATGCTGTACTAGACCCTGCTCCAACATGGAATGGAAACTCCGGCCACTGGCCTTGCTTTTAGCTTTACTGAAATCCCAGCTATACTTCTTCTATGACTGGACTAAGGGAAATGGGACTTTGGATGTAATTCCACAGAAATAAAGCTTTCTACCATATCTCATCCTCTCATGGGGGCTCTGGAAATTTTTATTCCAGCGGTACCCCAAGAACCTCAATCTCACTAGCAATGGGGGAAGATGGGGTATGTTTTCTCTGATAACAGTTTTGTAGTAAACTTCCATAGTAAAAGAGAAAGCAAAGGATTATGGGGGGGAGGAATTGTACATATTTTATTTTGTAATTTAAAAAACTTTAAGAATTAAGCTTTATGAAGAAACTGAGACTCAATGAATAAAGCTAAAAATACTCAGGCAGAGAATTTAAATCCTGGCTTGTATGACCCCACATTATGTTCTCTTGGTTTTCAGTATGCTATCAGGGTCCATAGGAGCCAATTAGTTTTTGAGTTTCTTTTTTCAAGCAGTTGTAATTATTTGTAGAGACTGATATGTCTTATTTTTATTTTTTCTTATAGGTCTTCCAAGGAACAAAGAAAAACATTACTTATTTTTTAAACATAATAAAATGCATTGTATCTTGTAATCACCATGTGGCACAATTGAGCAATTTAAAAAATCCAGGACCCATTATGAAATCTTCATGATCTATTTTTACCTATACCTTGAACATTTTCTATTTTATAAACTTAGGAATTATTTCATTATTATTCGTCAATTATTCCCAACAATGCCAAAAAAGACTAAAATAATAAAAAATGGAATAGTGATGAATTGTCTAGAAGGATGATGCAATTGTAAAATTGTAATAAAAATCAGCATTATCTCATGTGTTGTCCCACATGTTGAGTACATATTGCATCATCATTCAAGAAGGCATAAAAGAAGTTTAAAGACATTTATATGGTCTACTTTTAGTTTCACTGAACACAGTTTAGAATTTAGAATTTTTTTCCATCCATAACCACAAAGAGAAGCAAATTGATAGAGGAAGATGTTTCAGTGATTAGACAAATCAGAAGATGAATGCAAAAAAGACTAATAACAGTATGCTAAACTCTAATGATTAGGGAAATTGAAAATGATCAGTCAAGTGAAATCTCATTTCATGAATCTTCAAATGACAATGTATTTTCTCAAATTCAAGAATCAAGTGAGCAATACATTTCAAAGAGTGAAACAGGAAATATGGCATCTTCATTCGGTTAGTCCTTCAATCGGAAGGACTTTATCATGCAATATTTTGTGGCAAGAACATGAACCATTTAATTTTGTTAAAAGGGTATGTACAATACTCTTTCATCTTTTATAAATTCAGTGTGCCAAAATTTATGGTTTTTAAATATACAAATGCTGAAGAAATGTGAAGACAGGTATCAGAAGGCATTTGCTAATGTATAAATAAAAAATCATTGGGTTTATCATTCTAATTAATGCTTACAAATTTAAATATGAAAACAGTTTGCACATATGAAATAAAAATTACATAATTTTTCAACAAAAAAATGAGCCATCATAGATTTCAAAAATTCAACTGTTGCATTTTGATGATGTAATTAATAATATACTAGAACCTAGTAAATATGAGTTTGAAATCTGGAATTAGTACTTATAAATAAATACAGTGCAATTTTATTCATGATAGCTGATGAGCGGTCAGTTTTTTTTTTCTGAAAATGTTTCCAATTTGGAGTATATGAACCTTTGATATTAGGAAAAAATGGAATAATAATGAATAACATTAGTGAAATGAAATAAACATTTAGCCTTGCTATGTTTAAGTTCTTATGAAAATTTTGCTATCTTTTTATTATTACTTCTGTAACAATTTTTTAAGTGGTTCAAAATATTTAAAAAACAACAACATTAAGAAGTCCAAGTGGTATTTGAAGATCATTATTTATTCCTAGTATACTGAGATTAACATGTACATTTTCTGAGCCTCTATTGCATACTTATCAAGTTACCCTTAGTTATAAAATGATTTATGACATCTTATCTCTTTTCTGGACTGTCAACTTGCTGAAGGAATTCAACAAATAGAATTGAGTATACATCAAAACTCCCAAATATTTTGTTCTGTGAAAATAAATGGATGTTTGGAACTAAAGTGAGTATATTTTTATGAGGCAGTCTTTTTTGGAGGAGAGGAAAGTATGGCTGAATCGTACGAAATCTTCTCCAATACAGCCAATTGAGTTCTACAATTCATTGGATTAAACCATTAAATAACAGTTAATATAATGCAATTACATTTGTCCTCTTATCAGCGGGATCAAACCAGAAATTCAGTTATATGCCACTGAATTTTAAGAAAAGGATCTTTTTTTAAAAATATATTTTATTGATTTTTTACAGAGAGGAAGGGAGAGAGATAGAGAGTTAGAAACATCGATCAGCCGCCTCCTGCACATCTCCCACTGGGGATGTGCCCGCAACCCAGGTACATGCCCTTGACCGGAATCGAACCTGGGACCCCTCAGTCCGCAGGCCGACGCTCTATCCACTGAGCCAAACCGGTTTCGGCAAGAAAAGGATCTTAATAAAATGAGAGCACTAACATTCCTTGAGGCTCTTTCTAGCTATGGAATTGGAATACAGGCTGCCAACGAATACCTTACAATAGTCAGAGAAAATTTTGATAAGTGAATACCTTCAATTTTAAGAGGCATAAAAATAGAATAAATTACCTTGGCATGAATTCTTGGCTCAAGTAAAAGTGAGATAGTAGTTAGAATTTCAATGGTGGGATAACTTCTAAGGAATAAACATTAACTTGCATTGAACTTTAATCATAATGGCTACAGAGACGAAAAGCTGAAAAAAAGTGTTAAAATTACTAAGCCAAAGCACACTAACTCTGGATTTTGTACTGGACATTTAAATTGATTTCTTTATCTAGAGTTAATATAAAGAGATCTGTGAGCCCTGTGATTTCTTACTTATACAAATTTGTTGACTTGGTTGAATCTGTCCGATGATGCATGCAATTCATTTGAGCCAGGTGGAAGTTGATGAATAGGAAATATGAAAATGCCTAGCAACATCATGATTTTAAAAAAAATAACCTACCTAAATGAAAACAAATCAAACCCAAACAAAAACAAAGCAAAAAAACCTGTTGATATGGCTGCAACTGCTGTTACAGCTTTCACTAAAGAAAAATGTACGTAGCATCAAAAAAGAAAATTCGAATTACTATAACTTTAATAAAGAGAAATCAACTTTGAAAATCTAAAATAATTTATCTTGACCATCTGTACTATCAATTTCTAAAAACTAAAAAAGAAATTAAAAACACACCAAAAAAAAAACCCTCATAAACCGAGTCTCAATATTGCAACTAATGTCTGTCTTGACCAACTTTAATACTTCTCTTATAAGATAATGACAACTAGAGTACATTAGGCCTAAAGTAAAAGTAGGAGTTACCAGCTTCAAAACAGCCACCATGGGGTGACAGGATCTCTCTCTCTCTCTCTCTCTCTCTCTCTCTCTCTCTCTCTCTCTCTCTCCTCTCTCTCTCTCTCTCTCTCTCTCTCTCTCTCTCTCTCTCTCTCGCTCTCGCTCTCGCTTGCTCTTGCTTGTGTTCTCTCTAGCTCTCCTTTCTTCTCTCCTTCCTAAGACAGATTATGGACTATTAAAAATAAACTCTCCTATAACATTGACCATCTACAAAATCAAGAGATCTAATAGTGGGGTTGTTAGGTCATTAAAAAGCAGCAAAAAGAGAGTATTTCTGGAGTGGGGAGTTCTTCAAGTGTCCCCGATATCCCTAAAGGTATACATTTAATATATATCTACTCCAATTGCCATAGGACCCCGCCTTAGTAGGTCACTTAGTATGCTCACTTTCTAGATTTAAGTTTTTTTCCCCTTATTTTTTCAACTTAATATAGAGTGATTCAGTACAGGAGAATTTTAGATACAATAAAATGATATGATCCTTATACATTATTCTAGTTTATTAAAATAATCCCTGTAATTGAGGTGGGGATTTTTACGATAGAGAATCAGAAAGAACAATTCAGTTCATCTTCAGATATATAGACAAAAATCTTAGCTAAAAAATAAATATTAACTCTATCATAAAAATATTCTATTTAATAGGATAAAAAGGTGAAACTTGGGACTTAACATCACGGTGTCAGCATACTTCATTAATAAGGTTTTTGGGTTTTTTAATCATCACCCGAGGGTATGTTTTTTAGAGAGAGGAAGGGGGAGAGAGATAGACAGATAGATAAATGGAGAAAAAGAAAGAGAGAGAGAGAGAGAGAAGAAAGAAGAGAGAAGAGAGAGGTGTGAGAGATTAACATCGATTGGTTGCCTCCTGTCATGCTCCCTGACCGAGGATCCGCAACCTTTTGGTGTAAGGGAGGATGCTCCAACCAACTGAACCAGCTGGTCAGAGCTTAATAAGGTTTTTCAAATTTGAACTGTAACTTGGACTATTTTTGAGGGGGTGACAATATTATGCTAAGGAAATACTGTATCCCAGAGGAAAAAATCAAATTATAGTTTTAAAAACTCATTACCAGTCATTAATAATGAACTCTAGCTAAACAATAACAGGTGTTCCACTAATCCCAAACAGAAACAGATGGAAGCACAAATGTTTTCTAAACAGTGGATACGTGCAGAGCAATAAACTTGGCAGGAATTGTTTTATTCTCTAATTGTCAGTCAGAGTCAAAGTCTTATCACTTGCATTTTCTCAAATTAATATGCCCAGATTAAACCTTATTTCTCATTTCTTGTTTTTCAAAATACAAGCCATATTTTGTGCTTGCTAACTCTATCTTATGTATTATCTCACCAATAAAGTCAGTATTAGAATCTTCCTTCTGTACATTGATGAAGATTTATGTTATTTGTTACATGAAACAAGGGGCATGCTATCCCATACAGGCTTTCCTTCTCCAGAGTCTTCCATTCCACGCCTCACCTCACAAGCAATACTGGTCTACATATTCTTTAATTTTGTATACATTACAGGAACAAATCTTCAAAAGTATGAATGTACATAGATGAAATAAATTAAGAAGGCAATTGGAAAGTCAATGAATGGTTTTAGGAAATCTATAACAATTCAGGATTATTTTCAGGAGTTAGGAGATTACATAGTAGTACTATAGATCTGAACTCATGGCTGTTCAGAGAATGTTCACATATGATGTTAGAGAGGCTCTCCCTGTATTGTTCATAACTAAATTCTTCTTACCTTTTGCAGAGATGGTTTTACTGTTCCTTCTAACCGTAATCTGTTGTTAAATTTTCAGAAAGAAATGATTGGCAGCATGACTATTAAGCTGTTAGTATCTCTCACTGAAATGGGCAGCAAACCTGTCCTCTAAAAGTGAATTAATGGTGTTTATAGACTGGTACTTGTCAATGTTGAGAAGCTCCTTTATGGGGACCCTCACCCAGATAGGCAGAGGTGAAAGGGGTGAATTAAAGAATACGGTTATAGTAGCATTTTCTTGTGCATCTACTAGATGCTTTGTCAACAATTCTTCAAGGTTGTTACTGTGATCGCAATTTAAAATGTATTAACCCTAAAGATCAGGTGGAATTCAATGATTTGTTCAAGGTCCAATGTTAGAAAAGGAAGGTGTCAAGAATTATGTCTGTATTTGTGTTGAAAAGCCTCTGTTTTCACTACATTAAACTATCTTCCTGAATGTTTCCATCTACATTTACTATAAAACAATACACATATGTTAACATTAATTGTATCTACTGAAAGAGTCAACACATTTTTCAGTATTTTCCCTCTCATTTCAGTTTCTAATTTATTAAGAAAGTGAAGAAAAATGAGAAGATCAAGAGGAGGAGGAGGGGGAGGAAATCTACTTGAATATGTTACTAGAATGAACTAACTTTTCCTGAGAGCCAAAGTTCTCATGCTCTTCTAATTTTCTAGGACCTAGGTGTGTTGTATATTTGTTTTAGATACGATATGTCTTTTTGCCAATATATGCATAAATTATGATACATTTTAGAAAGTTTTTCATAAAAATACTTGAGAAACCAAGACATATATATTTTTTAATAGTCTGCTTCAATTATGCTAAGGTATATTAGCTCCTTCCTTAATAATACCAACTTCTTAGAAATGTTTCCCCAAACATTAATATGGTGCCATGGTACCATCAATTTTTAAATATGCAAAAGCCATAGCACAAGTGAAGTCCCCTTTGAGTTGGGGTGGAGAAAACACAATACAATATGCAGATGATGTATTATAGAATTGTACACATGAAACATATTTTTTTTTAACCAACATCACACCAATATATTAAATAAGAAAGTTTTCAAAAGGCATAGCACAAGCAATCAAGTTATTTCTTCTTAATTAAGATGTTAATAAAGAATCCCTTGTTACCCTCTGGGTAACAAGGATAGAAGAGATGATAGGTACATTTTCTTAAGTAAAAATATACTTCCTCATCGCATTGACTAATAACTCCAAGGTTGACTATCTCCTTCAGTAGTTCTCTGGAGCAACTAAGCCAAGTTCATATGTAAGTGAGAAAATCAGTATTGAAAAAAAGATTAAATATTTAAAATGTGATTAATTTTAATATGAATTTTGTGCACTACTAAATAAAAATGGGTAGTTTCATTGTTGTAGGTCTGTTATTCTAAATTTACTACAAATAAAACAAGATGATTCACCTCTTCCCTCCAAGATATTATTAAAGATATTAGCATTTTTTTGTATATGAAGAGATTAGCAATTTTTAGTTTTCAGCTGACTTCATTTATAATAGGCCATGCAGTAATACAAAGTAAAATTAAAGGCTCTGATGCAAGTTATTACTTCTTTTTATTGGTTTTAGTCTAGATCTACACATGCATTATGCAATATAAAAAAAGAAAATACACTTTAGTACATAAAAAAGCTGACTAGAAACAAAGCCTATTACAACAGACAAGTATAAGATTTGTTTGGAATACCTGGTTTTAAATCCCCATGGACAAACATGTCAATCATATATCGACAGAATGCATACTGATCTGACAAGAGTAGAAAGAAAAAAGAACAATGAAAAATTGTCATCAACACCTTTCTTTTTTCTAGGGAGACATGGTTTAACAAAACAAACAAAATAGCTCAATTCTATTTTAGTTACTACAATTCTGTGAAGGAATAATTTGCACTTATACGAACACACTGGGGGATAAAAAGACATAATAAACATACTGTTCCATTTATTCCATACAAAAAGAATAACTTTAAAAATTGAAACAGACTTGTTCAGGGTATCATTATAGTGGTTGTTTTTAGAAATCAAAACCTCTTTGATCAATTTGATTACAGAAACCATCATATTAAAGCAATCTTTCTCATTGTCCGTGTTCTCAAAAATAAAACGGAAGTTTTACAAAAGGAAATTGCTTTCAACTCGGAGCGTTTTACCAAATATTCACTCCCAGTCCTTCTGCTAATTGTCCAAATGGAGCAGCAGGGTGTTTTCTGGAAAAGACAAGCAGGAGAGCTAACCCCTTTGCAATCGGCTAGGCTCCCCTGCATGGGAATGCTCCTCATTTAGGAGTAAATCAGGAAGGACAGACTTATAGTACCAAATAATATCATTGTTAAGCGAATCCATTCAGTAACCTTTATCACAAGGGCATTTTATAATGTGGAATAGTCTACAGCCTATGGAAGAAGAAATAAAGAGAAAAGTATAGGATTAAGAGAATTTGGAGCCGACTTTGTTTAAATGATTTTAGAAGTAAGTTTGTTTTCTTTTCCTTCTAAATCAAATCCATTGTACTGAACTTTCAATTCTCACATAAGTTGAGAATCCGACGAGGTCATTCCAACCCAAATCTCAGTTGATGAATCATTCTGTAAGTTTTACCATATCTTCTTTAACGTTTGCATATTGTGAAATGAATCTTGTTTAAGATGATTTACATTTCATGTTTCTAAACAGGCATCTTATTATCCAACAAATCCAAAGGCAGCTTTAGGACCAAGAGAGTTTATTGAATATATGCAACATGATACATCCTTAAGTGCTCCAAATCATGTATAGCAAGCATGAAATAATAAAACTTGTTACTATATAAATACACATACAAGGATTTTTGTAAACCTCATTCTTTTTAAAGTATTAATGGTATTATTGAGTATTTCATTTTATTATGAATCTACCAAATCTTTGAAAAAATAATAAATATAATTATTGCAGATGTAGAAATAATAAACTTTTGTCAATATCTAAATATGAATAGGCCAAAAATTATTAGGTTTCAAAAATGTAAAACGTGCATGTATTTTGACTGTTGTATTGGAGCACACTTCCACATAGGTGAGGTGTAGAGGGGGAGGGAGTTGTCAGATCAGCTCAGGAATCTGTTTGCTCCTGGACTCACTGAGAGTAATGGCAGAGATTTCAGAGCCCAAAACCCGGACACCCTCTGGTACAGAAGGGAAGTAAGATTAAGGTAGAGAGCATTTCTCTTTTCTGGACATAACTTTTTCCTGAGCAAAATTCCACCATGGGCAATTTGGCTCTAAGATAAAGCTAAACCTTAAATAATAAATCTGAGGTTGGGCAAGTGTGGGCTTCCTGAAATGATCGCTTTGCCCTCTGTTTCAGTAGCGTAAGTGACTGGGATCTTTTTAGATGTGCCCTTCCTGCAGCTCAGACATAGTTCTCTAAGGGCAATATCTATATTAAAAAGATGGAAAATTTGCTCAAATGCAGATTTCTGGGCCCCGTCACCCTGAACATTATAATTCCATGGGTCTGGACTCAAGGAATACACAATTTTTAGCAAACCACTCGGAAGAGTCTAATTAGACCACACTTCTAGAATCGCTGATCTAAAATCCCTCAAATTCTTTTTCACAACGATTTCTAGGGACATGACAGCTTTTGCAACACAATGGAGGATGTGTGTATGTCCTATGTTTAGAATGCAGGGGCTACTTGGAATGTGAAGGATTCAACAACCCTCATAAATGAAATATTGTTCTCTGCTCCAAGCTGTGGTGAGATGTGGAAGAGTGTACTGACATAGCTAAGTCATTATGCTTCCAAGCTTTTCCTTGTGGTGACATGTAATGTGAACAGCCAAATGTTAAATTATTACCCAAGTAAAGTGCTTATATTTATTACACCAAATATTTTATGGATCCAAAAGTCATCCATTGAATTAATGCACCAATAGTCCTATGAGCTTCCACTTTGAAAAAGAAAATCACTTACACATTCTAAGAATATTTATTTTTTAATCAAGAAAATTATTTGAGTTACAAAACTTAGGTGGTTTCTGTTATAAATGATTCTGCCTTCTAATGGCACCAAGATATCAATAGGAACATGATAAATATATTTTTAGAACACTTTAAATTAGACATTTTCAATATTTTAAATTAGGATGCCTATTTCCGCCTGTCCTCAGTGTTGAACTTAACAATATGAGAATTCTAGGCAATTATATTTGGGGCACTCCCCAGTGTATCTCCTTCACCTGTCTCAGGATAGAGCAAAACCAAGACCTTTCAACTCTGAAAGATTTATTTTATACAAATGTTTTTAAACACAACTCAAATTTTAAAATAGAAAAATTTTTTCCTAGAGAAAATCTGAACTGTCATTCTAACTTCAAAGTTAGTCATTAATAATTCACATAAGTTAATTTCCTATTTGGTCACTACTCTTTTTTCCCCCTCAAATGAATATCCTTCCAGGGATAACACACTGTCCATTCATTTCTCTCCTTGATTCTCAGGGAACAATGATGGATGTCACTCAGCTGCTGCCTTGTCGAGTTCCCTGCGGAGGGGCAACTGAGACAAAATGCATTCTGGGTGCAGAAAGGAAATTTTTAAAAACTCTAATGAGGATGGACACTTGTGCTTTGTGCTCTCTAACAGATTCACATTAGCTATACTTTGTCTTCCTGTCACAAATATTTAGTCATTAAAAAAGGAAAGAAAGAAGGAAGGAAGGAAGGAAGGAAGGAAGGAAGGAAGGAAGGGAGGGAGGGAGGGAGGGAGGGAGGGAGGGAGGGAGGGAGGGAGGGAATGAGCATTCAGTGGGAGGTTTAATCTTTCCTTCCCCACAGATTTGCCACAGACTATCAGAAAATCAGGGAGCAATGCCTGCTCATGTCAACCCTTCTTACCCTACTTTAAATAGGTTAAGATTGGTCCATAAAACTAGATTATATGCTATATAACTGTGTGTACAAGTTTGTGGTAGATATGTACATACTTATGAATCTTATTCCCAATGCTTTAAGTAGGAATATATTGCTTATATATTCAATAGTAAGAATAACCACAAATGAATATATATATATATATGTATGTATATTATACAGGGGTAGGCAAAGTTAGGTTTACAGTTGTGAGTATGCAAAACACAAAGTTTATTCTTGTATTATTACTTATTAGTTTTGTTTATTTGTATTACAACTATAAACCAGTTTTACCTACCCTGTATGATTAAATAATTGTCAATAAGTGTGTATACTCCATGTAAAAATATCTTTCCAGTGAGTAAAAGACCTGGGGGCCCTACTGGTTCAAAAAGAATTATTTGGAAGTTTGTATGAAAAGAATAACTCAAATTAATTAGGCGTAATTTAATCTAAGGAAATAAATATTCCCTTGCGCAAAAGAGAACTAGCTCAACAATTTTACTAAATCAGCAGTACAAGAGTCTCAAAAATCAAAGCCACCTCACAGAATATTTTAAAAAACAACTGTCTTTGTCATGTTTACTTAAAATCATTATGTGATTAGTTTTTATTTGTTTTAAATGCTCTTAAATTTTTGCTTAATTAAAAAACATACATATTTATGTGTCTGACCAGGTATTAGAAGTTAAAGTTTTGATGACTTACCTAATGAAACATTTATTTAATTGATGGTAGCAGGTCTCAATAAGGTGCTTTACTTTAGCACATGCACTTGTTTAGCTGACAAAATCATATTTGTGGTTTTGTTTCTAACTTTAAGTAAAATTTGAATGTCCTTTTAATAGATAAGTAGCTCTTCATGTGGAAATAAAAACAGTAGAATAAAAGTGAAAATGGTAATATAATGTTATATTTAATAATCCTTTTTACTGATAGAAATAAAATACAGGTGACCAGGAAAATAAATATTATTTGAAAATGTTCTAGGGATATGTCTCCATCAATAATATATGCCCTGCACTGGTGGCGTGGCTCAATGGTTGAGCATTGAGCTATGAACCAGGAGGTCACAGTTCAATTCTTGGTCAGGGCACAAGCCCGGTTGCAGCCTTGGTCCCCAGTAGCGGGGCATGCAGGAGGCAGCCGATCAGGGATTCTCTCTCATCATTAATGCTCCTCTAGATCTTTCTCCTTCTCCCTTCCTCTTTGAAATCAATAATAATAAATAATAATAAATAATAATAAATAATAATATATTCTTCATCCAAAACCCAAATGTGCTAAAAATGAACATTAAAAGTATATTCATGGCCTAACTAGTTTGGCTCACTGGATAGAGCGTCAGCCTGCGGACTCAAGGGTCCCAGGTTTGATTCTGGCCAAGGGCACGTGCCTGAGTTGCAGGCTTGATCCCCAGTAGGGGGTGTGCAGAAGGCAGCTGATCAATGTTTCTCTCTCATCGATGTTTCTAACTCTCTATCCTTCTCCCTTTCTCTTTGTAAAAAATCAATAAAAAATATTTTTAAAAAAGTATATTCATGTGTCTAGTTAGATACTTGGTATGTTTCAGCAGATTACTTTCTTTTTTAAAGGGCGATCTAAAATTTAAAGTATTTTAGGGTATTGATAATAATTGTAAATAAACATATAATGAGTCAGAAGATTAATTTTCCTGTTTTATGTCACAGTAAAATAATCTATTCAAAATATTTTATCTTTATTTACTATGTATTTTTTGTACCCAAATTATTTTTAAAATAACATATAGTTTTAAGAGGGGCAATACTTAATATTTTTCAATATATATATATATATATATATATATATAATATTTAAAATTGAAAAAGGTTTTTAGGGCTCCAAAGTTTAAACTCCACTCATATCTTAAAATATTACATTGTAATAAATTAAAATTACCTAAATTAAAAATTATGTGCTCTAACCAGTTTGGCTCCATGGATAGAGTGTCAGCCTGTGGACTGAAAGGTCCCAGGTTTGATTCCGGTCAAGGGCACATGCCTGGACTGGGGGCTTGATCCCCAGTAGGGAGAGTGCAGGAGGTGGCTAATCAATGATTCACTCTCATCATTGATGCTTCTATCTCTCTCTTTCTCTCCCTTCCTCTCTGAAATCAATAAAAATATATATATTTTTTAAATTATGTGGATAACTAAAAAAGAAATTTTTTTAGCTTTTACCTTTTACCTTTTATTCTTTTCCTTCTCTTCCCTTAAAATTTTTAAATATAAATCAAAGTTTATAAATATTGCTTATAAATTCAGGGGAAACATGGTTTAAAAGTAAATGCAAGAATAGGTTGCAAAAACAAATATCATGTATCTCACTTACATGTGGAATCTAAAAAAAAGTGTGGAATGCAAATTTTATATCTTACACCTTATAATGGGAAAAAATATTTTCAATTTCACCGTTCAAATACCTTAGTAAGAAAGTTGTAAAATATTTTAATGAAAGTATCCCAGAAACCACTTCTTAATTTTAGTCCTCGAATAAAATTATTCAAAACTACTGGAGTACAGAGAAATGTTATTTTGCAATACTCCTGAGAAACCTGTGCAGGAATAGTCCCTACAGAGCAGATCCTACATTCTGTATGGGGAGTCTCCGGTTGTGTAGCAGTTGGAGCCAGGAATGGACTTAGGGAAGGACTGATTCAACAAGGGACAGAAATGTGAGGCAATAGGTCCTCAGCTGCCCTCTTAAAACTCCACCATTTTATGTTTACATAGCACCTTTCCATAGAGAATTTCAGGTGCATATTTCACTTCCATTTAAATGCTCTTTACTATTTCAGTAGGGATGTAAGTTTAACATCAATCTAGCTGAAGAACCACACAGTATGTCAGATATAGAGCTTTCCAAAGTCATACACTTAGTCATAGAAGCTGGCAAAGAAATTTGAGGGTTCTTCTAAACCTTTTTGCCTATCAAATTAGGTGAATTTAATAACTTAATGTATATTCTAAATTATATGCTCTTACAGAGGCAACAGAAATGTATGAATAGTTTTTCTATATATTTGAACATACACCCCTTAAATTACTCCTTAAGAATTATTATTTTTCTTGGACTATTTTTCTCCAAAGAGTAGAACACATACAATGTTTGTTCCACATCTTAATAGAACTCCCTTATCTTGAGAATTCAACATTTATCACCAACCTTTAAATAACTTCAGATACTAACTCAAATCCTCTTTTCAAAATACTTCAAAGTGCATCTTTAGATATGTAGACACATTTGGGTATGTCTATAAATAAATTTTAATTTCCAATTTATTATATTTCTTTCCAAGTGTATTTACTTATACAAATCTTTTTCCCCATTTGATGTCTGATCTGTCTTTTTCAGATTTTAATTTCACTCTATCTGCTTCTTGCCCAATATTCTCTTACAACCTCCAGCCGCCTTGTCTGAATGTTTACCTTTCTGTTCATGCTTGGACACCGCCACGGTCTCTTTCTCATCCTTCCCTTTGGGTTTAGGTGATGTTTTCTGTACTTCTTTTCCTTTTGCAGCTGATTGCTTCACTTTCTCCTGCTTCCCACCTTTTGGTTCCTTTTTAGTCTTTACTTCAGTCTTTTCTTTAGTCTTAGTTTTCTTCTCTTCTGTATAGGTTTTTAAAAAGTTGGTTTATTTTTGTTCACTTACCAACACAGCATTTCATATTTCACTGGTTGTTAAGAACAATTTACAAAGAAAGAAAAAAGAAAAAAACAATAGAAAAATAGTATCTCTGAGATAAATACTTGGCACAAATACCATTATCTGACTTTTACATAGTTTAGGAAGTGCCATATTAGAGTAGTAAAACAAAGGAAATGTTGGACTCTTTCTTAATTTGTACGTGAACACATTATTTTTTAGGTAGTTAGGACCTTAATATATCAACAAGGAAGTATTGCAAATACGCAGGGGGTGTGTATACAGGCATGTTCAATGAAAGGCAATGCTCAAACCAAAAAGCCAGTAAAAGAGATCAGATAATTTTGTTCCACAACTGAATATCTTAAAAGTCACTAAAGACACTGAACTGTCAACATAAGACTTTTTAAAGATAACTATTGGGAATATAAATATAAAATTACTTGCAATAATGATGACTAAAAGGGATAAAACAATAAAATCCATTCAAGGATGACTCAGACATTCAGTTTCTAGTAACTTGACTTTAAAGAGACATAAAGAGAGCAGGAATTAACATATTGGCTCTTGCAAATCTTAAGTCAGAAATAAATATTATATTGACTTTTAAAGCACTTAAATGTATCTCAGTAAATAGAAAGGGCTACAAATTAGAATATGTATGAATATATATTAATTATAATGTATACATATATTTTATATACAAACATTATTTTAATTTGCTATTATGTGTGTCTGGAGGAAGAGAACTGGGAATATGAAATAGTCTGTGAATCTTTCAATTATTTTTTTTTAAAGAGCAATAATAATATAGCATGCATTTATAAAAAATTGTTTATAATAAATGCAGCATATTGGACATCATTTATTCTAAGGTATCATACATAATCACTAGATATCAAAATAAGTCTACTACAATGTTGGACTCTCATGTAATTTATCAAGGCTTTTATTGTCATTCATGTTGAAGAATTTGATGAAAATATTATAATCAAGTTTCTTGACTTTAGTACACTAAACAATGATTTGAAATTAAGATAATATTGTGAGGTCCAGTGAAGAATAAAGAGAAGAATGAAAATGACAATGCCTGATATTTACAAAACCAGAATTGTTTGGGGTATTTCATTTTCTTAAATAGACCAATATCTCCCAAAGCTCCATTCCTCAGAAACTTTACAGGGAGATGCTGATACTGTGTTAGGAATAGAGGGATATTCCTATGATCAAATAAATTTGGAATCACAAAGTTAAACTAGTTTCTTTAAAACTTCTCAATGCTGAAATGTCTTGAGCATCTTCAAGGAAGGGAGTTACACAATGCACTGTTCTCCAAAGTTACTTGACCATTAAAAATCTCATTGAAACACACTCAACTGCCCCACAAACTTCTAATGTCTTTGGGGCTCCTGTGACTATATTCAATTGGAGATTTTCTTCTACTCCCTTTAAACCATTTCTAAATCTCCTTTGTTAGTTTCTGCTCTTTCCTACCACAGACTCATTTCAACGACTGAAACCATCAGCTCTCTGCAAATCACTTTAAATCAACATCATTCCAGAAGCTCACACCAAACATTCATTAGTTTCTGCCTGGAGAGAAAGTTCCACTCAGATGGCCAACAGCACCTGAGACATACAACTCATATATATTCACCCAAAAAATACTGCCAGAGAGCTCATTGTGACCTGGGCTCAGAGCTAGTTTCTGGAGCTCTAATGATCAGCAGTATAATCTTATCTGAAGCATGCTTAGGAGAGCATTTAAAACCTTGTGATATCTGGCCCCATCCCATCTCTCTTCGCGTAGCATTTCCCAGTTTCTTCCTCCACTGGACTGCTTTCTTTTTCTTGAATATCTCATGTATTTTCCACATGCCAAACATTGCCAGAAGGCATTCTCTATATTCCCCATGTTTCCCCCATATATGCATTCCTTTGTGCTAAATTCATATGCAACAAGTGGCGCTGCCACTTATATTAATCATTAGTTCACCTGAGCTTCAACCAAAATGGTGTATGCAATGGAGAACCAAAGTGAGAATCAGACTTTCTTTCATCCATCTTAACTTCAATAAAATGATATTTGGTTATCTCATTGAGAAAATTTACTAATATATATGTATATATATCTCAAATACCTAATTATTTGACATTAAATAAATGCATTAAATTTTGAAAATAGATTACAATTTTCATCTAAATGATTTGTTCATCCCTTGAAAATACTAGATTGAGATTTCTAAACTATGCTGATCACATAAAACCTATATTTTAATAGTTCATATTGAACTATCAATTAAATTTTATATTTTCCTAATATCAAACCAGTGGTAGGCAAATTTGGCATAGGATAAGCTAATAGATGTAATCCTCCAAAATACTTTACTTTGATTGTGTATTTGATTTTGGGGGGTTTAGTATTAAGAACTTGGGGATTCAATGGTTAAAATATTAATCAAAATGCATGATTTACTTTTTCTTCATAAAAAACAATCCTTAATTAAAATCTTCTAAAAATCAAACTCAATGTGTAATACTGGCCAAAAGCTGTAAACCTTATTGTCATAGTAACAAATTACCTAAAACATCTTCTTGAAACAACATTCATTCAATATCTCCTGGTTTCCATGGTTCAAAAGTATTGTCACCATGTGGTTCAATACATTCTCTTTTTAGTGTCCACAAGGCTAAAGTCAAGTTATTAATAGAGCGGCATCTCTTACTAGAGGCTCTAGGAGGAATGGGCTTTCATCCTCATTCATTGTGTTGCAGAATTTTTCTCACACTTTCCATGTGCCCTCCTCAATTTTCTTATGTAAAGGATGTTAGGAGAGCAACAAAGGTCAGTTCTTCTGACTCTTCAAATCTTTCTCTTTTGCCCCTTCTCTAAGGTTTCTAAAAGTTCATGAAATTACATTGAGGTCACTTGGATAATTCAGGAAAATTTCTGTATTTTAGATGAATTTTAACTACTGCAAACTCCTTTCTGCTATATAATGTAACATAGCCACTGGGATGACATCAGGGATAAAAGGCATGGGGTCCAAAATTCTGCCTACCACGCATGGGAAAGTTCTTTATTCTCCTCTCAAAGGTGCTCACTTGTTTTATGTATTCAGTTTTATTATTCTTTAAATATTAAATTTAAAATGTAAGGCCAAATTAGTGTTTTATGTAAAGGAAACGTGAATGCTTACAATCATCCAGCTGTTACCCAAAATGTAAACTTTAACAATAAAAGAATTTAGTTATGAAAATAATCAAGAGAAAAGTTACCTTTTGCCATTGTCTTTGTTTCTTGTTTTTCTTTTTTCTCAACTTTTTCCTTGTGAGTTGCTTAAATAGAAAATTTTATATTAGTACACACTTTTAATAGATTTTAAAGCCAAGTTTTCTCTTTACCTCAGTCTTACAACCACCAAAATAATGAACTATTTCAAAGATTTATGACTCTAAAGAGCCAGACTCAGAAATAAAGAGCTACCAATGTAATAATATCTGAATAGGGTCCGATTTTAAAGACTTGGAGTGAAGACTGAGATAGCATTTTGAAGTCTAACCCAAATATTCTAGGAATAATCCACTCTAAAACAAAAGCAAAAGAGTAACTGGGAATTTTATTTCAGATCATATATTAATACAGATTTTTGATGAATTAAAGTGAAATGTGAAAGTTTTTAAAACTTGGGGAAAATATTATTAACTAGTGATTTAATCTGTGGGAAAAGATTTAAAAGCAGAAATACCAAAAGTAATATTTATCTAGCCACATGCAAATTTGGGAATATAAACACACATACTCACACATATCTATTCCCACAGACAGACACCATTACATTAACTACAAAACTGAAAAAAATATTTGAAAAGTGACAGACAAGGGTATATACTCAAATGAAATGCACACATATTATCAGGAGAAATAGGTAATGAGTACTTATAGTTACACCAGAAATATAAATTGCTAAAGTTCATACTTAACTCTTTGAATCTATAGATATAAAGCAGTTAAAGTGAAAAAATTTATCTCTACTTAAATGCAGTGTTTTTAAGAGAATGAGGAAAATATCTATTTACTGATATTGAAAGTTCTCTAGATAATATTGATAAATTATAAAAGTTAGAATAGAGGATATGCTAAATTTTGTGTGGAAAAACATGGAGAAACAATAAGTTATATGTCTTATAAATTCATGACGAGGCTCTGAAAGATACACATAAAACTTATAAAAGTCTTTTACTATGTATTATGTATAGATAGGATGGAATGGGAACCTGGAGGGTGGGAACAAGGCAGGAAACTTTTAACAATGTATCTTTATGCATTAAATAATGAATCTGCATTATGTATCCTAAACAAATAAATAAGACAAAAAATAAAAATCTAAAGTCTAGTCTAATAGGTAATCAAAATATGCAACAGAGTTCAAAAGTCTTAAGCATTTCATTTTCTTCAACCCAGAAATTACTCTTTTCAGATTCAATTATAATAAAATTATCATAATATAAATAAAAACATAAATTTATGATCATCTAAAATCTGATGTAAAGAAGAGGCCAAACAGGAAGGAACCAATGTCTAAAAACAGCAATAACAAAAACACTATACCTTTCTTTTCAGGTTTTTCCTTTTCTTTTACTTTGTCTTTTTCTCTGTGTGTAACTGGAAAGAAATAGACAATACTTCTTATTAAAGTAAACAGAATAAATGATGAGATGATTACATGGCAGTCTTTGATGTCAAAAACTTACTTTCTGCCTTTAGAAATCTTTCTTTAACTGGCATGAGGTTTTACAGAGGGGTTTAACCATTAAGATAATTATAGATTTCTTTACTTCTATTTTTTAATTTATAACAAACCTAGGTCTAATAGCAAAGATAAGAATACCCCTCAGCTTTTCCAAATTTTCAAGTTTAACTTAATTAAATGAAAAAGTTTTAAAATTTCTTATGCCATATAGCAAAGGAGGCTGGTTCAATACTGGAGAAATGCCAAACATATGAGCATAAAAATTCAGGAGATAATCTTCTGAAACTGAAGGAAAGTATAACCAACCTAAATAGTACATGTTAATCTTCTCCAGAAACAATTCACAATGAAAGTTTTTGAAAATATAGTGAGATAAGACTAGATGACACCAAATCCCTCCAAAGTAAACAAAATGTAATTTAATATTAGCCAATTAATTAATATAGTCAGGCTCCAATTTAAGTCATATTCTTACCCCACAATGTAATCATACATCTTATTAATGGCACCTCCAATAATCTAAGCTAGAAACATGGAACTCACCTAGAATTTGTCTTTTATTTTCCATTTTGTTCATTTATCCAACTCTTTCCTACCTGTTTAATATTCCTCTTACCTATCTTCTTTTATCCAATATTACATTTTCTGACAATCATTTATTTACACAGAAATACAGAAAGAGTATCTGCCAAGTGCTAAAAACCCTGCTAGGCAAGAAAGACTCCATGATGTCAACAAGCTAATGGATGATGGATGCTAAACAAATAATTATACAGATATTTAATTGAAGTTAGTATGGCTGCTATGAAGAATATATATATATTCCTGGTGGCATGTCAATGTGCACAATGAGACCCAATCTAGTCTGTGTGTACGGAGAAGGCCCCATGGTAGAATTGACATCTACAGATACAAAAGATGAGAAGAAATTAAGCTAGTAAGGGAGTGGAAGGAAAAAGAAGAGACAATTTCAAAAGTTGAAGTAGGAAGTTCTTCTTAGGTATATGATTACACATATCCTATATAATAAAAGCCAGATATGCTAAGTGTCTGGTTGTCCGTTCAACCATTCAAAGCGTAATATGCTAAGGCTGCTCAACTACTCTCTATGATGTGCACTGACCACCAGGGGGCAGACACTCGGACTGGTAGGTTAGCTTGTGGCTGGGGTCTGGCTGATGGGGACTGAGCAAGTAACGCCCTGGAGCCCTCCTGTGGTCCCTCTCTGGCCCCGATTGTGCCCTGGTGGGGTCCCTCAGCCTGGCCTGCACCCTCTCACAATCTGGGACCCCTCAGGGGATGTCAGAGAGACAGTTTTGGCCCAATCCCACAGGCCAGGCCAAGGAACCCCACTGGTGCACAAATTTGTGCACTGGGCTTCTAGTTATTACAATATCCTGACTAGTCTCTTGAACCTTTAGGTTTAGATTTTGTCCTCAGAGTAACCTTGAAAACATGAATATCTGATTATACCACTGACCAGTCAAAAGATGATCTCCCTCATTGCTTAGCATGGCATCTGTCATATAGTAGGTGCTATATCCCCTTGAACTTTATATCCAATTATAATAAAATTCTTGGAGTTCCGCCGTGTGCTCTGTTAATGCCTTTGCATCTCCCCACTGCTCATTTTTACCTGGAATTTCCACACCCCCATGCCTTCACCTCTACAAAATGTATTTTGACCTCTGCTTATTTTATACACCAACTATACCATGTGCATAATTCTATTTTAGCAAGTAAATAAAAATACTGCAATTGTTCATATATCTGACAACCCAGTAGGTGAAATCTCTTTAGGGACTACTGTGCATTATTTTATTTTTGCATCTGAGGCTCATCATATGGTGTCTGTCACATAGTGGACTCCTAATAGATATTTTTGAATAAGTGAAATTCTAAAGTATTACAAGAAGAGTTATTTTCATCTTCTAGTACAATTCTATTCATAGATGATGTGATATAGATATAATTTTGCTTCCATCACAAACCATTTTTACAATGTGTTAAAAATTTCTTAACTAGTTAAAAGCCAGTGAGAAACAAAAGAAAAATATTCCCTAGAACATTATTTTTTTCATTCCACATTCAATGATTCTTTGAGGTGCTTCCGAGTTACTAAATGCAATATAACTATCTGACAAAATAAGGAGAAGACATCAGTATTCACACATGACCACAGATAGCTTAGTCCAGTTTCTTTGGATTACTATTCATTAAGCTGAAAAACCAAAATAAAATCTTGGCAAAAACAAAGCCTCTTTTAAAGTTTCTCTAGGGGAAACCTAGTTTGTGTGAGATAAGCTGTGCTTTCGGAACCCTGATTGTCAGGGCCCCCAGGAGAACACCTAATCTGCCTCTGCGAAGGACCAGACCTTTCCCACCTCAGACAGCTGGCTGTCCACAGCACTAAAGGATTTTCTGGTTGACGTGTTCCCCGGGTGCAAATGGGAGCATTCACACAAAATCAGAGGAGCAAGAGAGCTGCATTCAGACTCAAAGCAGCATATGAATGCCTCCTTTCTCTTACCCTGTGGGAGAATCTGGTTCCTCGCTGTCTAAGTTTTGATTTGCAGACACAGTCCTGTATGCTGGCATTTCATTATCCCCCTCAGAAATGGCACCGTAAGAGTTTTGGGAAGCAGCTGGGTCCTGTGCTCTAGGGGAGCTGTTCAAAATGGCAGACAGCCACTAAACCTTCTTGGACAGAAACTTCAAACTTTGGCAAGACTGCGCTCAAATACCGAGTTTTAAAATGTCTTTCATCAGCACAATGCAATCGTCAATCAAACTGCCTGAATGATCACTCTAAAATAAAAGTCATTTGCTCTGGTGATTGCATTTTCTTGTGCATCTCTTTACTCACAACCCACAACCAGAAGTTTGCATATGGAAGAAGAAAAAGGTACCCTCTTTTTTGTCACCAGATCTGTTTGGCAGGTGACATCGTAGCGAGGCCAGTTTTAGCTCAGGATAAAATAAGCTGGTTGCACCTGCTAGAGCTTAATTTGTTTGTCATCCTTATTTACAAGAAACAAAAGTCCCTTCGGGAGGCTGATAATTAAAAACAAATGGAGTCCACCAGTTGGAATGGCCCTGATGCTTGGCACCCGAGTTGGCATGGCCCTGCTGTTTCTGCACTTGCCCAGATTCTGACCTTTCCCTGACCAGAACATTCGGCTCAACTCAACTCTGAAGTGTGTCTCTCAAACTTGCCCATATGGTCCCTCTCCAGCACTCTGCAAGCTGTGCTCTGCTTTCACAGCGCTCGGCTCGGCAACCTGCCAGCCAGGCTGTGTCCTTTTCTGAAGTGTATCCGAGCTCACAGTGCTCCTGACCTTGAGACGCTTCGCCAGCTAAGCCTTCCGAGGGGCCCAGCTGTAGGCTCTCGGGGCCAGATTGTCAGAGCCCTTTGCTGGTCTCTCTGCTCTTACTTCAAAAATGAAGTTTTGGTGTCAAATTTTTTTAAGTTTTATTTTGTAAGGACTACTATATTCTTCAATGGATGGTTAGCAAATAAATTTAATGAACCCAAACTGGAATTCATACTTGACCTCGGAGCTACTGTCTAGGATGAGTTTTGAGTGCTCAAAATCAAAACAAATCAGATGGGAAAGCAAGTGATCATTACCTCTTCATATTATAAAAGACTTTGGGGAACATGGTTAGCTGTAATAGATTTTTGCTGATTTTTCTTTTAATTAATTTCACTGCTTCTCAGCTTTCTGGTGTTTATCTTGTGGAAGCTATTAGCACTGAAGGGGTCTATACATTTTAAGTATGTCAAATCCTCAAACAGCTTCATAACTTTCATATATACCCATGCTTGCATTCATCATTTTTTTATGAAAGAAGAGCAGGATACAAATTCACTTTAAACCCCTTTAAAAATTCTGCTTTAGCCACCACTAAACAAAAACGCCAGATATACCTTTGGTTAGTATATATGTCTCTGCATGTGTTTCACGTTTTTTTGTAATTAATTAGTACAATTTCCATTCTGTGCTCAGGCAAAATGATCTACACACTTTAAGCAATATATAATGATATATTCCTGAGTACAGAAACTTTTCAAAGATTGCATTATTCATTCCTGCTACGGGAAGGATTTGTCATTTTAAATTTAATAAAAGCACCCCACTTTAGAGCTGGTTGGAATCAGGTCAATTAGCCTGAATTTCTTTATCCCTGGAGGAGAAAATATAGGCTCATAAGAGTCCCTTGAAGAATAGAATAGAAATATAGTTGTCAGAAATCTAAACTAGTATTCTCTCAAAAGTAGGCTGCCTTGTACATCCCAAAATTGTAAACTTGTTCTATGAGCCAAAGTGTGGTGATTGGATTCTCTAAGCATGTTATCTACAATCTAGCCAGTCACGGTGAACCTACGACATGCGTGTCAGAAGTGACAAGTGAACTCATTTTTTTCGTTGATTTTTCTTTGTTAAATGGCATTTAAATATATAAAATAAATATCAAAAATATAAGTCTTTGTTTTACTATGGTTGCAAATATCAAAAAATGTCTATATGTGACACGGCACCAGAGTTAAGTTATGGTTTTTCAAAATGCTGACACGACGAGCTCAAAAGGTTCGCCATCACTGATCTAGCCTATAATACCATGCACACATCTTTTCCATAATAAAATTACCTTCATTTATGTATTATTAAAGTGAAGATTAGGCAAATTACCGAAAATTAAAAAGCTCATCTGATACATTTACATTAAATCACAAAACATAAATTTAAATTCCAAAATATGAGATTTACTCTAAAATTTGGTTTAATTGTATGGGTAATTTCCCCTTCACCCATGGCTACAGAGCCAGTCAGAACCGTAATCACTTCCTCCTAAGGGAACAGTCAGTATGGAGGTGACACACAGCTTTGTGTTGTCTTCTGTTCTCATT